GTACACATCACACAAAATGGGCGACCTCTCTCTTAGAGAGAAGACATCTGCCCTCTTCCACTGGCTCCAAATAACTCATCAGAACTCAGCAGTGGCTTGTGTGTGGGTCCTCGTGTGTAGGCACAGGAAGCCTGGGAAAATAAGTCTTGGCGTCTTCCCAGACCAGCCTCTGAGCTCCCGCTCCACACCTTACTACCTGTATCAGAGGAGGTGAGGCCATGCCATGGTAACATGCAACCCAGAAGTGCAGGGCTCCACCCAAGAAAAGCTTATTTCTTACTTATACTGTATGAATGACTTCACGTGAGGGTACCAGGGGCTCTTAAAGCTTCACCTAGAGAGGACAACTGCCAGCTTTGCCACGTTTTATGGATTTTGTCACAGCTGACAAAGTCCCACTCACATTTCATTGGTTAAGGTCCCCTGGCCAGTCTTCATTACAGAAGAGTAAGGACGTGCAGCCCAACCTCTCACCAGAAGATAGAAAACTGTAAATACAGGAGTAGCACTAATGATCACTACCCCAGCCAAATGACCTTTGAGCCCGTTTCCTCTTCTGCAAAATGGAGATGATAACAGTGTTTATGTCCCAGAGCCTTAAGTGGGTTAGATGAGAAAACCGATGTCACACAGATGGCCACAGGGAGAGCACAAGCACAAGGTCCCTGCCCTGGTAGCCTCCAGGGAGCTAAGCCGGGGGTGTTTGCACACAATGGGATCCAGCACACCCTCCTTCTGACTTTGCAGGCATTTAGCTCAGGTCAACCATGGAGTGGTCAAGGGGTCCCTTAAACATCTTCCCGCAGCACTGCCTTTTCTACTCTCTGGACCTCATGCCAATTACTGGGGCCAGACAACCTCCGAGCCATCCCCTCCCTCTCTCCCAGCACTGCCTCCCCTCCCCCTACTTCCTGCCCCTTTCAGGCCGTCCTTATGACAAAACCACTTTTCTGTCTAGTTAGCGGTAGGGCACCTACTATAGGTGGGACAGAAAATCCAAGGGAAGTCAACATCCATGCTGTGCTGAGCCCTGGATGCTTGAGCCAGGCTAGCTCCTTACAACCCTGCAACAGTCCCATGAGGAGGTGTGTGTGATTCTCCTCATTTTGAGATGTGGGAGCTTGGCATGGTTTCCTCATGGGCCCAGGGTTACGTAGCTAGTAAGTGGCAGAGCTGCGACTTACTAGTCAGCTGTGACTCAGAAGACCACAATTTAGCTTCTGGTCTGTCTTTCGTTATTTCATCCAGACTGAATTTTTGTCAGGAGTATTAGCTCATGGACAGACGGATCTCAGATGTTTACCCTCTGGATCCTATCATGCTGTCACAGAAACGGTCCTGCACTGGGAGTATGGAGATTGAGCTTTCAGTCTTCCTGCTTAGCCCCTATCAAACTGTCCTGTGCAACTTTAGACTAGTCCATTTACCTCTCCAGGCCCTCAGTTTCTTCACCTGAAAACAAAAGGGCTAGATTTGATGATTCAGCAGTTCTTTCTAAGTCTAGGATTTGGTGACATTGAAAACTGTGCACACTTGCACCTGCCTTTGGCCCTAAGACCGTGATAGAAAGCATTGCACAGTAGACAGGTGGGTAAAGATCCCATGTTTGAGGTTATGCATTAATTAAGCTCTAATTATCATTTGAAACCAAAATCACATTTGTTGTCTTTAGCTTGATGGGGGTATTTTTAATCCACAGCAGTTTTCTCTCTTCCTTGCTATTTAAAACAAACTCTGGTTTCCTCTGTAGCTAAGTCTGTCTCCTCCTGTAACAGAGGAAGTGAGGCTAAGCCTGTGTCCAAACTCAGATCTCCTGAGTCTGCAACCCAGTGGACCTCTTTTGGGGCTCTGAGCTCCTGTCAGCGGGCAGAATTCGGCTCTGGTGCTGTATAGGCATTAGAGGCTGTGGGCGGACATCCACCAGAGGATGGGCTAGGGCCTGTTCTCCCACAGAACCATTGTTGGCTGGTGTGCGACTGCAGTCTAAGATGGGAGGTACAGAATGCTGTATCTTCTATCCCCAGAGCTTTAGGTCAATGCTCAGATAAGTTTTACGAGTACCAATGCCCTGTATGAATCCTAAGAAGACAAAAGACAAGAGGGATGAAGTTCAGGCCACCTTTGGAGCCATTCCTAGAGCCTACAACTCCTCTAGTGTCTTGACTTGTTCCCATAGGGTTGCTGTTGCAAGCTGAGATGTGGCTGAGAGAGATCTGGGCCAGATGGCTGCCCCAAGTTGCTGCTGGAGTATTTTAACTACAGTAGCGTGGGAGCTTCCAGATTCAGAGAGGGCCCTCCATACCTCCCCCAGGTTTCCATCTGTCCAGACGCCCACAGCTCCTGTCAGGAGAGATGATGGAGGACCCAAGATGCCTGGGGGAAGAGCCTCAACTCAGGACAAGAACTGGGAATCAAATTCCAGTCCAACTAGGGACTCAGGGCCTCTGTGTGTGTGTGTGTGTGTGTGTGTGTGTGTGTGTGTGTTTGCGTGCGCATGCACATGCACCTGTGTACACTTGTGTATGTGCCTGTTTGTACCAGACAGAAAGCATTGGGGTGACATATGTATTATATAGCTGCTCCCAAGAAATGTCAGGGTTTGGGAAGGAGAGAAGAGCAGCTGGGAGGTTGAGGAGGTAGGAACAACTCCAGAGAAGAAGCAATGTCTGCTGAAGCTGGACAGAGCCTGAAAAGGGCAGGGATTGTCCTAGGCTCAGTCTGACCTGTCTAACCTAAATCTCCTCAGCTGCAACCATATAAGCCTTTCCCCCACCTTGTGTCCTCACGTAGCCTGTGGCCAGTTAGCTTCTAACCTCTGGGCTGCAGATCCCAGGAGATAGGGCTGCCCTGGTGGCCCACAGTGAGCTGCTGAGGTTCTGAGGCTGTGACTTCTAGGAGGCCAAAATATCTAGCCAGTGTGCCTCCTTTCTTGAACTGGCTGGACATCCTGTGGCCCAGAAGGATGCAGAGGGGGTGGGCAGCAGCTCAGGCAGCACTTCCCAGCAGTGGAACAGTGAGTCAGAGGGTCACCTAATGTTGGAAGTCAGCATGGACCTCCTGCAGACAGGAAATCAGAGCCTGGCCCCTGAAAGAGTCCAGAGATGAGTGGGAGGGACAGGAGGGTCACAAAACGCAGTATGATTATCCAAGAGGACTAAGCCCAAAGCTGCTACGCCTACAAGTTTTAAAAGCCTAGGCCAGGCCAGCTCCCTTCTCCATACCTACTTGGGGGTAACCTGGAGAGCCCAGAATCACGTGCACAAATTCATATCCTGAGTTTCTTATGTGAGACTCAGTTTCCTACCTGTAAGATTGAAAAATAAAGCTCACTTCACAAGGTTTTGAGGATGAAATGAGAATACGTACTTTGTACGTGGTCCATAAATGTTACTCTGCTTCTCACCTCTTACTTAGTTGGAAGACAGGAAGACAATGTCTAGAACCTGACTTCCTGATCTGTAAGAAATGATTCACTGGCTCCAGGGAGAGCTTCATCAAGGTTCAAAACAAGTAAAAAGTTTAGGATTCCACCAGTACTGCTAGTGGCACTGTTGTTGGCTTTGAGGATGGGAAGGCTGTGTGGATTTGACCTTGGCATACGCACTTGAATGATCCCAAATGGGGATCTGGGCTCCTAGGTGAGGCAGTTACCTATTGGGGTGGGTGAGGAAGGAGATGGCACCAACAAACACATCCTCGTATCCTTACACCCTAACCCACACCCTTGCCAAAATTCCTGACATGATTTCATCATCTGAGGGTGATGCAAGAGACTCCCAAGTCAGACTCCCCCCGCCCCAGTGAGCTCTCCATCCACATCTGGAGCTGGAGCTGCAGCTGGGTCCTCCTTTTGGACCCTTTCCAGAGGGAGCTGGGTGAAGTGAGGACAGCTGGTGAGGGGCCCTGTGAATAGCCCCAATGCTGGAAGTTAGGGGGCAGGGAGGAGTCCAAGCTCAGAGGGAGGGGAGGTGGACAGGAAAGGGAATTGTGACTTCATGGCACTGGTTTCTTCCTCCATCACTGCCCTGTGTGAAAGTCTCCAGGACTCCCCTTGTCCTTTATGTCCCCATTCCTGAAGGCAGCTGCCTTCTTTCTCCTCCTCCTCCTCCTCCTCCTCCTCCTCCTCCTCCTCCTCTTCCTCCTCCTCCTCCCCTTCTTCCTCTTCCTCTTCTTCTTCTTTCCCCCCATGTTTCTTCTTCCCCCTCCCCTTCCCACCCACTTCTCTGCCCAGCCTTTCTACCCAGGTGCCCCGCTAGAAAGTGTCCCCTTTGTTCCCTCCTTTTCCTGGCCCAGCTTGGGCCTCCCACACTGACCCCCTCCCCCTAACTGCCACAACAAGCAGAATGTGCGACGGGCAGGGTGGGGTCACCCGCAGGTCATAAAGGTCAATGGGACCGTGGTTCTGCAGTAGGGAGGGGCCAGCCTAGGCTAGGACCCTAGCCAGGAACCTACCAGAAGATGGGCTGCAGCATGGAGGCGGGGGAATCTTACTGTGACATTAGCAAGAATCCCCTTCAATAAAGGTTGGCGACTTTACAGGAATAAATGTAAAAGGGAAGCGTTCCTGGCTCTTTCGAACTATAAACCGCTAATCGCTGTGGGACGCTTTGAAGTGTAGGGCATTAGCCAGAAGGCCGAGGTTCTTACCACGCTTAGCCACTAACTCGCTGTGTGACCTTGGGTAGTTCCCTCTTTGCATCTGTTTCCTGATTTGTGAAAAGAAAGTCTCCTTGAAGCTGAGGTTCCGCGACTCCGAGGGTCGAAGCTCCAGTGTGGTCGGCTTCTCCGCCCCCACACTCCACCCTTCCAAAACCATCCGGCCCCCAACAACCGGGTGAACGCCTGCCAAGAGGTCCCTTTAAAGGCATAAGTCCCGCCCCACCTGCCCGTTCGGGCTGTGGATTGGTGGCTCCGTGGTGGGGCGGGGCCCGGAGGGGCTCGGCGGCGCTCGGGGGCGGGGTCTGGATCCGCGCGGCCCCCGCCCCCTTTGTTCGCGCTGCGGCGGGAGGCGCCCGGCTGGGCGGGAGGTGTGTGCGCGCGTGTGCCGCGCGGTGGGGAGCGGCAGGTCGCGCTGCCGGCTGTCAGCTAGCTTCGCGCCGCCACCCTATGGCAGGAGGAGGCGCGCGGGACCAGCCGTGGGGGGCTGGCCGTGAGTGAGCCCCTCTGCCTGTCGCCCGAGAGCATGTCACCTCCAGTCTCCGCGTCAGCCTTTGCCAGCAGCACCCGCGTCCCCGCCTTCAGCAGCCGCAGTCGCAGCCTCTGCCTTGGGCATTGGCCTCCAGACCCTCTCCCCTGATACCCCCAGACCCTAGCGACAGGGGACCATGGCTGGCCAGGGGGACTGCTGCGTCAAGGTGGCCGTCAGGTAGGGACGACGGCGGGGAAGGGGCGCGCGCGCCCAGGGGGCTCGGGCTTTGTCTCGCGTGGGCTCCAGGCCGGGGCCGCGGGCACCGCTCGTGCAGGAGCCCGCATTTGGGGAGGAGGGGCCGGGTCAGCGCGGGCCGGGTGGAGGGCGCTGCGCTCTGACCCGGCTGCCGCAGGGGAGCGGCGGCCCAGAGGATTGCTGGAAGGTGGCTTTGTTTGGGTGGTAATTTCGGGCCCCTCTTGGGAGCTCTTAATGATCAGAAAATCGAATAAACAAGGAAATCCGGTATTTCACACCCAGCCCTGGCCCAGGCCGGAGCGTCTGTGTGTTTCCTCTTCGCCTCCCCACAAGGCTGCTGTCTCATATCGGGCTATGGGAGAACAAAAATGTTTCCCCTCATCAACCCTAATCAGCTAGCGTTGTGATCTTGGACCAGCCAGCAGAGACTGCACACCATCCCGAGCTGCAGACAAAGATTGGTTGTGGGACTCATGGAAAGACTGCATGGTGACTTGGCCTTCTGTGTGGAGCAAGTGGTGTGAGGAGAGAATCCTGCTGATTCTGGAGATGGGGCGAGGGGTGAGAGGGCAGAGGGTTGAAGCTGATGCCCACCCAGGGGCACTCAGATGAAACTGAGCCGTGGAGAGCCATATGGATTTATCTAGGGTGCTATCGCCAATAGCTCCGGGATTCGAAGTGATCTGACAGAAATCAGGCAGGCAGAGGACAGTGCTGGGTGGGTTCTGTTGGGAGGGGCACACAGAGGTGCAGAGCAGGAAATACTGCAAAGTTGAACCATCTGTGTTCTTTGTGCTGGGTGGAGACGCTCTGCACCACACCACCTCTCTCTGTTTTTATTTGGGGCTTTCTCTTTCAGAGGGATATATTGGGAGAATATGAATCTAGGGCTGGTCACCAAGACAAGGATATGGAGATCAACATTCATCTCTGCCCTGGCTTTTATGTTGGGGGAGGGGCATGTTCCAGGTCTAGAGTGGTCTTGTGGGTCCTCTAGGTTAGATGTGACCCAGATTCCAGGGGTCCTGGGAAGTTGCTTCTAGACAGGGTCAGAGATGGCACTGGAAAAGCTTCCATCTTCGTGTCCCAGGAAAGATGCCCTTCAGCTACCTGACCAGTCTGTGGCAGCCCACAGAGGTGGCACTGATGCTGATCACATCTCTGGGGTCGAGGGAGGAGACAGCGGTCTCCATCCCTGCTCCCTAGGCGGCACTCAGAGCACCACTTGAGCTGCAGCCTTCCTGGCCCTGAGCAGCCTGAGACAAAGAGGAGCCCCGCAGGTGCCTAGTGGGCTGGCCGGGGCGGGGCCATGCTGCTGCTGGGGCTGACATTGCAGCAGGAGCCCTTGGAGGTCGAGGGAGGGAGGTGCAAGCTGGGGGGTGGGAGTGCGAAATGTAAATATGGCATCTGCAGCAGATGGGGAGAGACCGATCACCATAAAAGGGAAATGGAGCTCTAACCCCAACCCAGTGTGAACCAGGGCTGGGAGGGAAAGGGCTGGGGTGCCCCCTTATAGGGGGCTTTCCTTTAGACTCCATCTTGTAGGAGAGAGCCAAACAAAGGCCTTGCACCTCTGCTCAGGATCCCAGGCTGGGCTGGGGCATGGTAAAGTGTGGGGTTCCCACATGGGGAACTTCCCAGGTTGAGCACCTTGATTAGAGGGCAACAAAAACCTGGTGTTCCCTTCCTGTTTCCACCACCAGCAGGTCCCTGGCACCCTCTTCCCATCAAAAGGGTTGCATTTGCCCTCTGCACCCAGTCCCAGAGGGAGGTCTTCCCAGTCAGATTACCCAGGCAGCCCCATACCTTGTGTTTCTGGTCTGGATGGAGGCATAGGGGAAATTGAATATCAGAAGAGCCAGGTTTTGGGGGCTCCAGGAAAGTGCCCCCGCATCCAGTTCTTCCCCACCAGCTCTGAGGCTCCAGCTCTCAGGAGCGCTCAGCCTGGCACACGACAGATTTCAATGGGCAGCTGGCTGTAGAAGGCAGACAATGCCTGGATAGAGCCCAGTTTCTAATCACAGAGCAAGGGTAGGACTGGGCTAGGGCTAGGGCGGGACGGGGAGCAGATGGCACCAACGATGTGCTGCAGGAGATTCTTGCTTTTGGATCTCCTTCTACTCCCAGAAATCCCTTGTCCTACCTACGGGACTGGGTGTTGGACTGCATTCAAGTAGAGCATTTATAGGAAAGACCAAGGATTTGGAATTGCCTAGACGCACACCAAAGTCAGGACTCACTACCTCCTGCCAGGTTTTACTGTCTTTCTGACTTCCTGAAGTCCTTTTTTTGTCTCTAACTGAAGTGCTTTGTGAATTCCTATGAGAACAACTTGCAGTGAGCCTTGGAGTCCAGCTTTTTGCACAGAAAGGCCAGTGGAAGACAGCTTGGGGTGTGTGTGTGTGTGTGTGTGTGTGTGTGTGTGTGTGTGTGTGTGTGTGTACAGAGGCCTGGGCTGTTTGACTAGATAGAGTTCCAGGCCTGGGCTCAAGGATTGGGGATTGGGGCCACTAATCTAGATCAAAGCTGATGATCTGTAAAGTCCTGCTGAAAAGGCCTGGGCCCCAGGAAAGCCACAAGAAAGACATTTTAGGATCTGGAGCTTCAAGATTTGGGGAAAAGATGCAGGTGTGAGCAGCCCCACCCCAAGGCCTAGGTAGACTCAGACCCACCTGCTCCTGAACCCAGGATAGTCAGTTTTATAAGGAGAGAATCCCAGGCCTGCCCCTCAGAGCTGCCCTGTGATCCCTCCAGCCTTTAATCCCCTTGTACTAGGACACTCAACTTCTGGGGCTGAATGAGGACTGGGTTCTACCTGGGGGTGGGGAAACATGTTCAGCAGAGCTGGAGGGAGGTGAAGCTGAGCTGTGACCTGCCCTAGGCTGGAGAAATACAGATCTGACAAATAGGGGGAGAAGGGGGGCAACTGTTAAGAAACAAAAGTTGTCCAAGTTGAAATTGGGGAAGGAAGCCAAGTCACATGGTCAGTTTATTTAAGACCCTTTCAAGCACCCAGTTCTGAGCCCCCACCACGGTCAACCTTAGTGTGCAACCTCCCCACTCCTTTATCTCTGCCCAGTTTCCCTAAACTTCCTTCCTTCAGACTGCTCAGGAGGGGGAGGTACCTTGCCCAGTCCTGCATCCATCTTTGAGACTACAGGGCTGATGGGGTAGGGAGAGGGTCAGGGTAAGCACCAGTCAGGGACCCAAGGGACATTGTTGAGCTGGACTCCTTCCTGCCCTCACTGATCTGGATTCTTTAGCAGCAGTTATTTCCTCACTTCTGGCCACTCTGAAGTCTTGGTCAGTGACTGTCTACATTTAGAACTGACAGCACTGGGGGGCTGGGAGGGAAAGAGTGTGAGGAGGATGGGAGAAATTGTAGGTGGTTATGTGGGGTGTCTTCAGGGCCAGTGTCAATTGGTGCCAACTATGTGCCATGCTGTCCAGTTTACAGATCTGAGAAACTGAGGCCAGGATAGGACCTCACGTAGGCTGTGTGTAGACCTGAGAATCTTGGTGGTGGCCTCCTGCTGCAGAAATAGGCCTTATGTCATCACAAGGAAGTGGAGTGTAGTAACCACAGGCCCCGGAAACCTCCCTCCTCCACCACCCAGTCAGCCTGTTTGATTGGATCTCAGCTTTTGAAAACCTCAGAGTGGAGTTAGGGTGGTGCTTGGGCTAGAGAAGTGACAGGGGTGACACATGCTTGGCACTCTTAGCCTGATAGCCCTGGGAGCAAAGGGCAGATCGGGAACCGTGCGTTTAGACTGCTGGATAGGTCAAGGGGCCCCTTCCTGATTTGCCCTTTTGAGCTGCAGTTTTACCCACGGGAAAAGAAGAACATTGAGTGTGTTGTGATTTGTTCCTTGGTGCACAGCAGTGGTTGGGATGAAGTAGCAGGAACATAATACTTGGAGGTGGCCTCCTAAGGAGTCAGGTATCAATAAAGTGTTTAAAAAAGTGAGCTCTGACTTCATACCTAAGAGATATCTCTCTATTTAGTAAACTGAATTACCTCCAGCCCATTTATTTATTTGGAGCAGAAAGCATACTGTGGTGGAAAGGAGACTGAACCAGGAAGCAACTAAGCACTATTTCTTATTGCTGACCCTGGCAGCCACTGTGTCGGCGGTCTCTCCTTATTAAACTGCTATTACTCCCATTGTGAACATCAGCAAACACAGGCTGCAGATGTGCGAGGCTGGATCTGATCTCAGCGTAGATCAGGGCGCCTCTGGCTCCTGTAAGCTGCCTCCCTCCCAGCTGCGAAGTGGCTGAGTGGTGTGGTTGGTATCTGTGTTGGAGTGTCTTCCGGCGCTATATTACTACACAGTTACCTGGAACAGGAAGTGTCATAGGTACGTGGTGCCACAGTGCTGTACTGGTGTGTAGTGAGGGGTAAGCAGTCTGCATTGCCTTTCAGGTCACTTGGCATAGGGCTGCCTATTACCACTGTAGTCCTAGCTCCTAAATCCTTGCTGCACCTTTGTGTTTGGAGAGCTTCTGTGTCCCTGTTTCTTCCTTTCTTAGATTCCTGCGCTGGCACTAGGGAAGGAAGTTGACTTCCCTGGTGCCCCTCCACCCCCAACCCACCTCCTGTGTCCCAGCCTGAGAACACTGAGGAAAGCCACATCCCCTTGCTCTTCCCTCTTACAACAGCTGGAGGGGGCCCCTGTGGGAGGTGCTAGGCTGGAGAGGAGAGGTTGCTGCCCTGCCAAGAGAGGGGAGCAGTGCTGGGCCCGGGCTGTCAGCCCCCCTCCAAACTATCTGCTGATCTAGTCTGTCAAGTGGGAAGGACAGAGCCCTATAGGAGGGCTGGGAAGCCCAGGGCAGGTGGCTAGAGTGCTGGCTGCATCCTGTTCTCAGGAGGATGCCCTCTGTTACTCCCAGCTGGTGAAAGGAGAAATGCTGTGTCCCTGTCCCCCAATGCTTGAGTCCCTGTACCTCTCTGCCTTCCTTGATGGAAGCCCACCAACAGA